TGAGAGAGTTTTTGTAGTTTGTGTCTTTCAAGAAGTATGTCCATTGTGTCTAAGTTGTCAAAATTTTTGGCATAAAGTTGTTATTATACTTTTATGTCTGTAGGACTGCAGTGTTGCAGTCTCCAACATTGTTCTCATCTTGGTCATTTGTGTCTGTTTTTTACCTGAGCAATGTGACAGTAAGTTTGTCAACTTTATTTTTAAAACAAAACAGCTTTTGATTTCATTCATTTCTTTCTCTTATCAATTCCTGCTCATACCCTATTTTTTTCATGGTAATATTTCTTGCTCAGAAAACTACTTTGTCTGATATGAGTATAGACAGTATAGCTTTGTATTAATTAGTTCTACTATGGTATATCTCTTCTCACCTTTTTACTTTTAACCTGTTTACACATATGAAATGCTTATTTTGTAAATAATATGTGATTAAAATCCAAGATGACATTCTCTGCCTTTTGTATGTTTACATTATTTACACTTAATGGGATTATTCATATGGCTGGGTTTAAATCTACCATTGTGTTATTTGTTTTCTGTTTGCCTGCTCTTTGTTCCTTTTCCACCCTTCTTTTTTTTTAATTAATTTTTTATTTTTATTTTTTATAAACATATAATATATTTATTTATATATATTTTTATATATTTATAATATATTTATATATATATATTTATAATATATATATTTATAAACATATATTTTTATCCCCAGGGGTACAGGTCTGTGAATCGCCAGGTTTACACACTTCACAGCACTCACCCCAGCACATACCCTCCCCAATGTCCATAACCCTACCCCCCTTCTCCCAACCCCCCTCCCCCCAGCAACCCACAGTTTGTTTTGTGAGACTACAAGTCACTTATGGTTTGTCTCCCTCCCAATCCCATCTAGTTTCATTTATTCTTCTCCTACCCCCTTAACCCCCCATGTTGCATCTCCACTTCCACATATCAGGGAGATCATATGATAGTTGTCTTTCTCCGAATGACTTACTTCGCTAAGCATGATACCCTCTAGTTCCATCCACATCGTGGCAAATGGCTCCACCCTTCTTTTGATTGAGCATTTTATGTATGGTTACATCCTCACTCTTTATGGCTTTGTTTTTACTGATTGCTTTAAGTGAGCAGTACAGTTTTGCCTTAAACAAAATGGGTTTGAACTGCATGGGTCCACTTATACATGGGTTTTTTTATAGTACTGTAAATGTATTTTCTCTTCCTTATGACTTCTGAATAACTATGTCTTTTCTCTAGCTTACCTTATTGTAAGAATACAGTATATCATACATATAAGTTAACATACAAAATATGTGTTAATTGGCTATTTATGTTATTGGTGAAGTTTTTGGTCAATAGTAGCCTATTGGTAATTAAATTTTTTCAGAGTCAAAAGTTATATATGGATTTTTGACTGCACAGGGGGTCAAGACCAGTAACCCCGTGTTGTTTAAAGGTCAACTGTATATGTCTTCTTGTCATCACAATCTGCTTTCAAAGTGATTTATATAATTCTCCTCTCTGGCCTTTGTTCTATGGTTGTCAGGCATTGATTTCTACATATGTTATAAACTCCCCAATATATTATTATTATACTTACTTTAAATAGTCAATTATTTATTTAAGAGATGTAGAAAAAAAAAGGTCTTTTGTATATTTACATATTTACCACTTCTAGTGTTCTTCATTATTTTGTATCGAGCCAGATGTACTTTGGTTTCCTTTTTCTTCCATCTAAAGGACTCTGTTAGCATTCCTTCTACTGCAGGTTTACTGGTATGAATTCTTTCAGCCTTTGTATGTCTGAAAAAGTTCCTGTTTTACCCTCATTTTTTGAAAGGTTTGATGACTGTAGAAATCTAGGCTGACAATCCCCTAAATGATGTTCTTTATTTTAATCGTATCTTCTGATTTCCATTGTTCCTGACAAGTCTGCCATAATCTTGCTTTGTTTCTATGTATGTAATATGTTTCTTTTCTCTAACTACTTTTTTTAAAAAGATTTATTTATTTGGGAGAGAGAGAGAGAGAGAGAGAGAGAGAGAAAGAGTGAACATGAACTGGGTCGGGAGGGCAGAGGGAGAGGGAAAAACAGACTCCCTACTTAGCAGGGAGCCCTACGTGGGGCTTGATCCCAGGATCCCGGGATCATGACTTGAGCCTAAGATCAGACACTTAACTGACTGAGCCACCAGGCACCCCTCTTTTCTCTAACTACTTTTAAGATTTTCTCTTTATCACTGGCTTAAAGAAATTTTATTATTGTTTGTCTTGTGTAGTTTTTAAAAATATTGATTTATGTATGTATTTAGAGAGCAGACTTGCAAAAGTAGGGGGTACAGAGGGAGAGGGAGAGAAATCCTCAACAGACTCCCCACTGAACATGGAGTTCTATTCGGGGCTTGATCTCCCCACCCTGAGATTATGACCTGAGCAGAAATCATGAGTCAGGTGCTTAACTGACTGAGCTACCCAGGCGTCCCTAGTCTTTTTTTTTTTCCTAAACATCTCTTGTATTTTCAGCTTGTTGAGCTTTTTGGATTTGTGGGTTTATAGTTCTCATTTGGAAAATTTGCTACCATAATTTTTTGAAAAAGTCTTTTCTTTCTGTGTTCAAAATTTTTCATATATTAGGGCATTCAGGATTGTCTCACAGCTTTGTGATTGTAACTTTTACACTCAATCTTTTCTTTCATGTCTCATTTTCAAAAGTTTCTACTTCTCTGTCTCTACTTCTCTGTCTTCTCTGTACTAATCTATCTTAGCTATACATCATGAGAAATTTAATCCTTTTCTGCCTAGTAAATGTCATTTAAAGAAAACTTCAAACTCTGACACATTTTGTTTTTGGGAGATGATAGTAATTTCATACTTACTGTACTTTTTATGTTGTGTTTTATCCTGACGACTTCAAATACTGTTACAATTCTCATTGATTTAATGAGAAGAATTTGTATTTGGCTTCTCTTTTTTCGATCTCTTTTTCATTGGGCTTTGTGAGGTAGCAATTCTTTTGTTACTTTGCCCGATAGACTGTGGTACACAGAGTATCCTGTTTTAAATATGATGAAATGACTAAAAACCATGCCATGGTGGAGATAAGACTCTACAGACAGGAGAGCACAGGCACCGTGTCATGATTCTGCTGAAGAGCCAGAAATTGAGAGAGCCTTGGGTAGGTTGCTGAATGTGTATTTCTTTTTCTTTCTTTCTTTCTTTTTTATTCTTTTTTCCCTGAGCTTAACACTGTCTTACGGAGTCTCTGGGTTTCTCCTACTGTGTGGAGACAGGTAATATTTACTCCAGCTAGGAAGTGTCACATTTAGACAAAGCTTTGGGGATAGAATATATAGATCTGTCAGGCTCCCTGGCATGCTAAGACAAGTCTCATGACCCATGGGAATGAGGTAAATCTGTTAAGGTTGGAAGCCTGTATATGAGTAAAACTATTTTTAGCTTCTCCTGTGATTTTTTTTGCTTGCTTCTCCTTTATTAAAAAACAGTCTTTCAAGATTTTCAGATTTTCTTAGCTGGGCCAACAGCAGCCAAGGGAAAAAATATATGTATTTTTAATTTTTGGCAGCATCATTGAAGACAGAGATACCCAAAAGAAAGGTAAGCTTCAGAGGGAGAGGAGTTGCTTGGTTGATGACCTTGCCCACCTATAACAAATACCTCTTCCAGAGTGAAGGTTTGGAGGCCCTGCATTTTGCTGGATGGAGATGGGGAGTGGCTTCTTTTCTTTTCTTTTTTAAGATTTTATTTATTTATTTGACAGAGAGAGATCGCAAGTAGGCAGAGAGGCAGGCAGAGAGAGAGGGGGAAGCAGGGTCCCCGCTGAGCAGAGAGCCTGATGCGGAGCTTGATCCCAGGACCCTGCTGAGATCATGACCTGAGCCAAAGGCAGAGGCTTAACCCACTGAGCCACCCAGGTGCCCCTAGGGGTGGGGAGTGGTTTCTGACAGGATTTTTCATGGCCCTCTCCCTTCTCCACCCACCAGACATATTCCATCTCTAATGCAGAGCCTTCATCTCAAGTGGTAGATAACTAATGACTCAGATATTAATTTAAAGAAAATTTAAGGGTTTTTTTTTCCCACACAAAGGGTCCTTGTATTTGAGTTTATTTCTTATTATTTTTTAAATTTTTAAAAAATATTTTATTTATCTGAGAGATCAAATCACAAACTTTGGGGGTGAGGAGCAGCGGAGGAGGGAAAAGCAGACACCCCACTGAGCAGGGAGCCCTATGTAGGACTCAGTCCCAGGACCCTGGGATCATGTCCTGAGCTGAAGGCAGGCAGATGCTTAACCAACTCAGGCATCCATGGGCCTCAACATTTGTATTAAAATGATAACCCTTCAAGACTAGACTTTTCTGTGATTAAAGGAATTAATACTTACTGATGAAATTTCAGGTAGAAGGAGATTTACTGGGGACTGCGATCCTACGAAACTGTATTGCTGAGCCTATAGAATTTTTTATGCCACTATATATACATCTCTCTTAACTGAGCTTAATCTGTTTTTTTTTTTAGTGTACTATTCAGAATTAAAATTTAAGATGATTATTTTAGAGAAATTTTATCTGTATTTCCCAACATAAATCAATCAACTTAGAGTATAAAAAATGATAAACTCTATATTTATGGTAAACATCTATAAAATATATTTGTCAGTGAGTTATAGCGAAATGAAATGGCTATAAGATATGAATGGAAATTGAGGTGCTGTCATGGTATATTTGTAATACTAGGCTTGACTTATGATATGTGCAAATCACATGTTTCTAAATCAACATAATAATTCTTTCCAAATTTATGTTCCTAGCGGTTTTGAAATGGGTATGATATTAACTTATTTCTACATTACCTTATTTCACAAAAGATTTAGAGAGCTAAAATGAGCAGATTGTCAAAATGCCCTTTAGGACACTTATATGTGTGTTTAGCAATATATGGGATCTCTGTTTTCTAATTTTGCTGACATTTCACTTTTAGGTATTTAGAGAGTGACTATCTTCAGATTATCAGAAATATACAGAGCTGTCCATGGAAACGACGAGAAGAAGAATATGAGAATTTTAGGTAAAGAATTTTTTCATAAGTATTATGAGATTTAAAGATGTCTTGTGTATTTGGGCTTTGCATGGGAAATAACATGTTGTTTGAAGGAAAATAGAAGGGGCCAGTTCACAATCAGATCGATTTTATCCTCAGACCCCTTCCTGAAGCACATGGCACTCCGTCCCCATCTCTTATGTAGAAATTTAATTCGGCTATTGGGATTCATTACAAAAATCCTAAGTTGAAAAAAGAAATTTTAGAGGACATTGCTTCTTTATACCATTTGTATTTGCTGTTTATTAATTTTGTAAATAAAATATGATTGAGTTTGGGACTGTTTGGAAAACGTAGAGAGAAAATGTCATCCAAGATCCCATTGCTTCTGAGCAAAAACTGTTCCTGTGTTTTCCCTCCCAGTGTTCCTTGTTGGCTTTTAAACAGCAGCCACATTCAGGCGTGGGAGTTGGCTACAGCTAAGAATCTGGGGGGAGTCACCAGCCTGACAAGCCCAGGTTATGAGTTAATGATTATAGAGCTGTCCTGTCCTTGCATGATGTGGGGCCCACCTGGACAGAAAGAAATTGTGTCCCAACACTGTGCTACAGGGGTGCATGGAAACTTTTCAGGGACCCCTTACTCCCAGTCATATAGTACAGTGGGACACACCGTGTGCTTGTCTCTGCGCTTGCGTGGTCTACGCTGCTCTGCTTCTCTTGGCCCGTGTTCTCATTCTTTGCTAGGCATGCAACACAGGTTTTGTCCAGTGCCGAGTTATTTTATGATGTTACAGTCCAGAAATATGTTTTTATCTTTACTGGTTCAGATTTTCAGACCTTAAGCCTTAAGTCTTTTGAAGACCTTCTTTTTTTTTTTTTTTTAGATTTTATTTTTTTTTTAATTTTTTATTTTTTATAAACATATAATGTATTTTTATCCCCAGGGGTACAGGTCTGTGAATCGCCAGGTTTACACACTTCACAGCACTCACCATAGCACATACCCTCCCCAATGTCCATATCCCCCCCCCCCCCCCCCCACCCCCCCCCCCCCCCCCCAGCAACCCTCAGTTTGTTTTGTGAGATTGAGTCACTAATGGTTTGTCTCCCTCCCAATCCCATCTTGTTTCATTTGAAGACCTTCTTAAAGAGCCTGCTATCCCGGGAGAGTATCTAAGAAGAATCTGCTCCTTGTGTTTCTTTCCTATGGGAAGGAGCTCTGATTTACACTGTGCTGCTGTGGCTCTGCCTGTCCCACCTTCAGTCACTTTATGCTCTGGTCATGGGACCAGCTGCCTTTTAATTCTGCTGCCAGTTTGAGAGGGGTTCGGTCTGGCTCCCAGTGAGTGAAAGAGGAACCTCCTGACTGGGTTAGAGCTCACAGTGAGAATTTTCCCTCTGTCGAGTAGACTCATGGATATGTTAACTCCCTATAGGATACTATTAGGCATCTTTCCTAACTGACCTTTTAGGGTGAGGAGCAAGAAAAGGGATTCTTTTGTATTTAACTTCCAGGATATTTTATGTACATAGTCTGACATAGATGTAATGTTTTCCCTCAGAAGTCATAAATTCAAAACCTAATTCCCAATGGGCTGGTGTTCAGAGGTGGAGACTTTGAGAGGTGAGTATGTTATGAGGGCTGAGCCCTCATGAATGGGACTGATAATCTTGTAAGAGATCCCAGACTCCCCTCGTGCCCCTTCCACTATGTAAGGACACAGCAAGAGAGTGCCATCTAAGCTCCAGAAAGCGGGCTCTCACCAGACACCTAATCAGCCGGCACCTTGATCTTGGGCTTCCCAGACTGCAGAAAATAAACTGTTGTTTATAGCGCTCCCGGTCGATACTGTTCTGTTATGGCAGCTCAGATGGACTAAGACACAGTCCCACTCAAGACTAGACTTGAGAGATCCCTGTGACCGGGAGACTGAGTAGAAAGTTACATAGGCAGTTGTAACTTAAATGATCCCAGGGTCAACAAGTGGCCAAAGAGTCTGGTTTAGAGAGGCTTTTCTACATGTGCAGAAGAGAGAAAAAGAGGAAGAGGGAGATACTGAAGTATTGAGCTACTAAAGACTAGTCCAAGATAACCAGCTAGAAAGCGTAATGTGTTGTGACGCCAATCACTGGAGTAGGGGTAAAGGATCTTCTCCTTCCGGCTGTGAAATTGCCTTAGCTCAGACCTCCTGCAAATAATACAAGGAAAACAAAGTATACTAAGTAAGCAAAGTCTACTAAGCAAAGTGCACTGTTTGGGGGCACTGGCAAACTACCAAGGGAGGGAGAATTTTCAGGATTAAAATCCAGAAGAAGAAGGAAGCCAACGGGGGTGAGCCCTGCATTTGAGGGTGCATTTTCTCACAGGAAACTTGCTGAATGCAAAAGCATGGCCTGATAGGCGAGAGGCTGAGCAGAGCTTCCAGCAATCCCTAGAAAAGATGAGTTCTCTAAATGAGTAAAGCGCAGATTTGAATCATTTCCATCCTCAGTTGGATTCAGATCCACCATAAGCCCAGATGTCTGATAGAAGCAAAAGCAGATCCTCTCTTGAAGAAGGTAACCTCCTTCTCAGCCTTACCTGATCTCTGCAAATGTTCACACAGCGTCTGGTTCAATTAAAAAAAAAATACAAAACTCTTTAAGGTTTTTTCTTTCCTTTCTTTTTATAATAAAAATCACAAATCCAAAGCTGCTTGAGAATCAATGCTGCAAATTATGCTGCATAGAAGGAAGGGAAAAGTGAATTGGGAGAAATCGGAGTGGGAGACATACCATGAGAGACTGTGGACTCTGAGAAACAAATTGAGGGTTTTGGAGGGGTGGGAGGTTGGGTGACCCTGGTGGTTGGTATTAAGGAGGGCACGTACTGAATGGAGTACTGAGTTGCGGTGCATAAATAATGAATCTTGGATCACTGAAAAAATAAAAAAATTTTTAAAAGCCGTAGAGATGGATGATATGCAGAGAGAATGGCCATTTTCTCCTTAGTACCATCTCAGTATAAAAATTACATCAGTAACCACGATGATTACCATGGCCTATCTATCCCTCCAGGGCCAATTTCAGTAAACATCTGGGACTATAACACTTATTGTTTGTTGTCATGGAAGAGAACAGTCACGGTGACATTTATTTATTGACTTGAATATTTATTATATTAGAATGTTCTTTTTATGGGCATATTTTTGAACTAAATGGTGTACACCCTCAACAGAAGTCTGTGCAATTAAATAATAATAAACTCCCTACTTCCCTAAATTTTTACTAATACAGCTGGTTAAATCTAGGCAGTTTCTGGCTTATTTATAAAACTGGTAGTGTAGAAACATCTCCTGTTATTAAAGATGGCAAATTCTCCATTTTCTTTATGTGAGCACTTTATACCAAGTTGAAGAGGAGCAAAATGTGGCCCCTTAAAAGGTGATCATATCCTTTTAACAGGAATTACAAAAGATGCATTAAATTCTGCTGAAAATGAGCAAGTGAGTATATTCTAAATCCATCTCTGGCCTGATTGTTGAAACTCCCCACAGTTGACACTGAGGGGCTATTGGGAAATTATAGGAACTCCTTTGGCCACATGATCTAAAAATAAAACCGCTTTTAAGAGTTATTTTCCTTAAATAAATACCGCTTGCTAGCAGGGGGTTGAATTTTGTTTATCAACAAATATCTGTTTACGGTTTTACTATGTTAAAGCACAGTAGAACCCCTCAGTCTGGTATAGTGCAGGGCACAAAAGTAGAACCTCAATAAATATATTTCAAATGAGTGGACACCTTGAAGTACACAAGAAAAATACAAGGTTTTCTTACAAACCTCAAAGAAATTGTAGTCAGTTTGGAAAGACAAAAAATAAAACTATGAATACTTATAGTGTCCAAATGAGTGATTTATACTAATACTGTAATATATCAATGCACGGTCAGGGTGGGAAATAAAATTTCTTGAATCGTTTTGTGGAAAGAGACAGGATCTGAACTGTGACTTGGAGGATGAGTAGAAAGGAAGGGGTGATGGGGCCCAGTCAGTCAGTTTCAGGACCAGCTTCACTGGAGCAGGAAACATGTACTGAAGGATACTTGGGTTAAAGGGAAGACCTGCAGGTAGATAGGGGTGAGCCTGAGACACAGAGTTCTGATGATCTAACTAGAGTCCACAGATTTCCTGTAGATACCAGAACCCCAGAAGATATTCCCCTCAAGTGTATTACATGATGAATTTATTATTTTAGGGAATGTATCTGGTCAGAAAAATGGTATGTGGATTGGAGTCTTAGAAGGGAGTGATTAGACTGAAGAAAGCCAGAGCAGTCAAGGGCTGACTGTAGAAAGGTACTATAGAATGACAAACAACTAGAACATCAGTGATCGCTATAAAAATAGCAAGGAAGGGACCCTCGATGGTGAGCTCTGTGGCTGCATGGTGTGTCTTACTTATCTTTGTATCTCCAGTGCCCCTCACAAAGAGGGAACCCAATAAATGGATGCAGTAGACATAGGAGAATCGGCAGGGCTTGGTTCCTTATTGATTCCTAGGTTTCAAATGGAAGAAGAAAAACAGAATTGAAGAAAATGTGAGATTTTGAGTCTGCTTGATTGGGATGATAGTAGTGCTAGTGAAAAGCAGACAGACTTCAGAGGGAAATTGCATTTGAGAAAAATAAGCCCACAATGAGCAGGCTATGTTCGAGCAGACACTGGGATGGACAGATGTAGAAGACATTACTATAAATGTTAAGAGAAATTAGACTCTCCTGAAGAAGAAAAGTGAGTGTAGCATAGAGCTGGCTTCTGTAAGAACTATGGCCCTGTATGGAAAGGAGTGCCATGATGTATTCAAAGTGCTAACAGGAAAAAATCTGCAGCCAAGAAATTCTATCCAGCAAAGCTATCACTCAGAATAGAGGGAGAGATAGAGTTTCCCAAAGAAACAGAGTTAAAAGAATTCAGGACATTAAACTAACCTTACAAGAAATGGTAAAAGGGACTCTTTGAGTGAAAAGGAAAGAACACAAGCAAG